ATTATCCGGTGTTTGAAGTTTAAAAATCTAAGAAACTTTTTCTGAATTTTTTCAATTTTCTGTATGTAATAATCATATTGGGGATTCCATGCTTGACATGCATATTCAAGCTGGCTTCTAACCAGTGAACAATAATATTTTAAGTGACTTAGTATTACACAATACATGCAGTGCTTAGCTTAGTATGCAGACAATGAATACCCATAATAAGAGGCTGGTGCCTGATATTTTTATTTAATAGCATTAACCTTTAACTATAGTCGTGAAAAAATAATCACACTCCCATGGACGTCGGGTCTCACAGACCCCTATCTAAAATTCTTCATAATTTCATATCTGAACCAATTTGAATTTATCAAAGAGTTGATATATATCAAATATCTATTAATAAAGGATCTAGTAGTAAATGTAATCAATTTTTAATCATTATTTAATTATTTTTTGGCAAATTTAAAAAACAGTCATTTTTCAGTGTTAATTGACTTAGCATCACATATAGGCTCCTTAATTACAGTAGATTAATAATAAATCAAACTTATATTTTTTTCCTTGCTTATTAATAACCGTGTAACATAAAAACATAAACAGAATTTCTGAAAGACATAAAATAAAATTTTTGACAAGGGTTAAACTTACAAAAATTATAAACAGTGGTCTAGAACACTAAAGACAAATTATCTCTACAGGCATGTGTCATCTTTCTTTGAGAGCTTTGATAGGCAAAATATACACCATTCAGAATCGGAATCTGCAGCAATGGTGCCTTCTAAGACATCTAAACTCAAAAGAAGGATCGTCTACAAGTAAAACCTTACTTCTGGAATGTTACTTAGATAGTTGGGCTAATAATATAGCTGATGTACTCAGATACTTTCTACCTTTATGTATTCTTAAACTAAAACAATTTACAACATATTATAATGATATACTATAAAAAAATATAGTTGACAAGTCACATCCATACAAGTATGTTTGTATGGAAATTATAGTCATCGGGTCTCCCAGACCCCGATAAAATTTTGGATGGTTTTTACTCACGTAATAAGTGCCGGAAGACGCGATTTTATGCCTCCTCGGTCCTAACACAGTTAAAACTGAAGCTACTGAGATGGTCGAGAGCAGCACGTGGTGGGAAGGTATTGAAACCGAGAAATTGAAAAGGGGGGTCCCTCTGAGACCCGACGTCCATAGTTAAAGGTTAAGCTAAGTCCATCTTCTTTTGCTAACACCAATATAAACTGTGATGATTATTTATGCCTGTAATGAACGAAAAGGATAGTGCCAGGGTCTGGACCAAGTGCTGCCCAGAATCAACCCATAGTGCATTTTGTTCCTCAGGCCAATACTAATGTGTAAACCGAAGCGTACTGAAATCTATCCCTGGAGTTAAGAGAAAAAAAGAGTTTTGTTTTGAATTATTTACATACAAAATATCATCGATATATACGTACTACGCATAAGATTTCGTGATTTTGGCATTAAATAACACTCGCTATGTTAAACTTAACCATACTGCATCCGTACACCTTACTTTAGTGCGACTTAGACATTCTTTATAAGCGATCAAGCGCTATTGCAGTAGTTTGGTTAGTTGACAAAAATTATTATTTCCAAAATGAAGCAAGCAAGGTATACATCGATGATATTTTGTATGTAAATAATTCAAAATAAAACTCTTTTTTTCTCTTAACTCCAGGGATAGATTTCAGTGCGCTCCGGTTTACAAATTAGTATTGGCCTGAGGAACAAAATGCACTATAGTTTCATTCTGGGCAGCACTTGGTCCAACTTCCATACATGGATTGGCACTGTCCTTTATTTATTTATTTATTAGGTACACCAACAAAGTCACATTACATAATACAGTTCATACATTTTAACATGGTTTAACACATGATACGTATATGACCTCAATTACAGGTATACACAGCATTTCTTTTTACAATGTTAGGGTAATTATACACTAGTAAAAACAATTAAAATTAAGGCTATTATTATTTATTTATTAAGTACCTACATCAATAAAATCACAAAGTGCATCTTTAACGTTTTGGAATTTCACGTAACCACAGGTGGTCGGAGATGTTGGCCGCAAGCGAAACGGGCGACGTGTTCGCCCTGCTGGAGGGCGGCGGGCGCGGCGGCCGCGAGGCCGTGGACGCGCTCATGGGCGTCTACAACGTGCGCGAGCCCTGGCTCACGCGCGCGCTGCTGCTCTACCACGCGCGCACCGGCTCCGCGCGCGCGCTCGAGCTGCTGGCGCGCGCGCCCGACCTGCACGCGCGCCATCTGCTGGACGCGCTGCAGGACCAGCTGCGCGCCGACCGCGCCGCGCGCCACGCCGCGCTCGCCGCGCTGGCGCCGCTCGTGGCGCGCCGGCCCGCCTGGCTGCACCGCCTGCCCGGGCCCCGGCGGCGCCGGCGGGGGGCAGCGGGGGCGCGGCGTCGTCCCCGCCGCAGCTGGCGGAGTGCAGCCGCGTGCGGCGCCTGCTGGAGCCCGAGGGGGACGAGGCGGGGCGCGACTGAGCGCGGGCGGGCGCGGGGGGCGCGGGGTGCGAGCGCCTCTCGGGTGCGTTCGGGAGTTTCGACTCTGAGGAGTGTTTCTCTCGTTCTGTGGTGTGACTTTTCGTCGTCGATGGGCGCGCCCGTCGCCCGGTTTCGGTTCGTGATTGTGAATTTGAATTGTTGCATTGCGCGTTGCGAACTCACGTTGATCTCTCTCGACCACGTTTTTAATCTCGGTTTGTGATTCGACGTAATATAATCGCTCCATATTTTTGAAAATTCGCTATGTTTGTCCTCGAGAGCTGTGCCGCTCTTGTACTTGGTGCTCTCGTTATTGTTCTGTAATTTAGCTGTGAACGTGTCCACCGCGATGTACTTATTTACGGCCGTAACGCATATGAAAGTGAGTCCTAATGAGCTGCCAAGAGCGGCCTACATCTCTTGAGGACGAGCAATGCCATGAATCATGATTGTAAATGAGCCGAAATATAAAGCATTGAAACATTGCCTGACATGACATTACAATTATTACTATTTTAATGTAAATTGTTCAATGTCTCGAATTTGTGTTATTTAAACGTCACGATCACTGTTACCTTACAAATTGTAACTAGGGATGTGTACATACGAAACTAATGAAAAATACGTCATCCAAACCTAGAAAGTCGTATCTGGTCAGCAGTGAAATGCTATCATGCACATTTATATCGAATTTAAATTTAATTATATGTTTTTGTTTTATAATGAGCACAAAATGTACTACGATATAACACTATTGAATAATATATACGACGAGATATTATACAATAGTCACATAGCTTGGCTTATGTTCAAAATGTAATGAATTGTTGCTTGCTTTAGTAATGTATCATATGTTTCGACCTAGATATTAATTACTTACCTGTAAGCGGTACTATAATTATTATTATTATGAATGCTTGACACTTAAGCATAAGCATCGGATGTAAGGGAAATATTATTTAACCTGTACAATCGTCACTGTCTTGATGCTAAGTGTGAGCGCGCATTTTATAACCAAAGCTACCTTAGGCAGCTGAGTTTTTATGTTTTTATTATTGTAATCGAAGAATGTTAAGGTGTTAATTGGCCAGGTTAGACGTAGACCGTTCCATTCGCATTTCGTCACGGATTCAAAAATGGTCATTCATTTGTTCCTTTCGCAAAATGGCCACAAGTCGTTTAACATTTCAACCTACAAGTTGAACTATTGTTCCAAAAATGGTAAGCTTTAACTTTTATCTGAGTGTGACCATTTCACGAATGGTACGGTCTACGGCCATCGGAAAATAATGACTGATTATTCTAAACTGCGATTTTGATTATATTATTGTGAGTTAGACAGGGTAAATACTGGGTCCAGCTACGTTCGCAATAGTCGTGTAAACGAGTCCGAACCGGGCGGTTTAATCGAATCCATATAAAAACCACTAAATACTTTTACTCGACCAAAATGCGACAAGTGCGAACAAGGGTTTACTGACGGTGGCTTTGGGATTGGCAAGGCTGACATGCACTTGATTTCATTAAGATTTGACTAAACACCCTAGTCTTATCATGCAATGTCCAAAAATTTACCCTTTCTAAGATTTCTAATCCTCTAATGATTTTGGTATGTATATTTTTATTTTATTGTGTGTCGGTCACCATCGACGCCTCGACCACGCGAAGGGCCACTCGGGCTCCGCGTCACCCTTCGCTGGCCCCCGTCGATGAATATATTTCCGTAATACGTGCACATAACATGATGTATCTCGACAGCGATAATAAAATTTACTACTCAATCTGTGTATATTTTGGGATCCTTTTGTACCCTTTGCACCACCGGCCTGCACCACTGGTGGTGCAAAGGGTATTTTTAAATCCCTCTTGCACCACCAACAAATAGTGCTGTGCTACCATCGACTGTAAAACTAGTAGTAGACTGTAAAATACTTAATAATTTAATTGTTATAAATAATCAAAACCTACCTTAAAGTTTTAATTTGTGTGTGTGTAAGTGCCTATAAACATTTCACTTCAGACCCACGATACCCCGGGCCTATATCCTACATACAACGAATGAAGTAGGTAGTACCAGGGCAACATAACCATAAAGGAGCTATTTTATGATACATGTTTATTTTTCGGGTCAACCAAGAAGAATTTGATATAGCTCCTTTATGATTATGTTGCCCTGGTACTTTAGGAATTATCCGTTGTATGTAGGTATGAATGGTTGTTATTAATTTTTATGTTATGTTGTCAAATCTGTCCAGTAGTTTCGGAGCCTATTCAGTACAAACAAACAAACAATCAAATCTTTCCTCTTTATAATATTAAAATATTATATGATTATAGATAATCGTTATACAGTTAATGGTAGGGCGGCACTATTGGTGGTGCAAAAGGGATTAAAAAATACCCTTTGCACCACCAGTGGTGCAGGCCGGTGGTGCAAAGGGTACAAAAGGTTTTGGGATTTAAAAAAATACCAAATTCTAATATATTTTTTTAATCACTAATCCACGAGCGGATTAATACATTATAGTATATTTGGTACAAAATTCACAACATAAGTATAATATAAATAGAAATATCAACAGACTCTTATTTACAATGTACAAAATATACAAATAGTAAGTGGTAATAAACAACAACAGGGAAGGGCCGGGGTGGGGTGGCTAGGGCAGCGGCTCGACGTAGTTCTCGGGCACGAGCCCCGTCTTGCCGTTGAGCGTGCCGCGCAGCCAGCCCGGCTCGCCCGACGGCGCCACGTTGGTCACGATCTGGTTGGGCTCGAACGACAGCTCGCCGTCGCTCTCGCCCAGGCACGCGTACAGCGTGCGCACGCGCCTGCAAAACGAACGCACGTCAGTCGCGCTGCTCATGTTTACTGACCCCCGACAACGAGTGTTCAGGCCGGCCGTACACGGAATGCTTCAAGCGTTGAGACCGACCGCTTGAAGCAGTCCGTGACACTGCGCTCGTTCAGAAAGCGAGATCTCGCAGACACTTACGTGTATCGTCCGAAATGTTGCTGCGGTCGCGCCAGGAGCGCGGGCGGCGGGGAGGCGCTGTGGCTCGACACCGACTCGGCGGAACTGCTGCTCGATCTGCCGACGCCTGGAAACGAACGACGTTCATTAGGACTGAATTCCTTTTTTAAATTCGCGGGACTGATAGGATTCGTCGGGAAGCTTCGCCATATACTCACGTCCGAAATACCGCAGTGTCTCAAGTCGAAAGTATTCGACCAATGTGTGTTGCCAGTGATGGTATACGGATCTGAGACGTGGTGGCTTACTATGGGCCTCATAAGAAGGCTCAAGGTCACCCAAAGGGCGATGGAGCGGGCTATGCTCGGAGTTTCCCTGCGTGATCGAATCAGAAATGAGGAGATCCGCAGGAGAACCAAAGTAACCGACATAGCTCGCAGAATTTCTAAAATCAAGTGGCAGTGGGCGGGGCACATAGCTCGTAGAGACGATGGCCGTCGGGGCAGGAAAGTTCTCGAGTGGCGACCACGGGCTGGAAGACGTAGCGTGGGCAGGCCTCCTACTAGGTGGACCGACGATCTGGTAAAGGTCGCGGGAAGAGCCTGGATGCGGGCAGCGCAGGACCGTTCATTGTGGAAAACCTTGGGGGAGGCCTTTGTCCAGCAGTGGACGTCACTTGGCTGAGACGAAGACGATAGGATTCGTCACGGAAGATGAGACGTACCTGGCGTGGGCGCGAAGTGGTGCAGCAGCTGGTGGTGGTGCGGCGAGTAGCGCGCGCCGCCGCGCTCGCACGCGCCCGCGCCCGCCGGCACGCCCGCGCCCGCGCCCGCCAGCACGCCTACGCTCAGGCCCTGCGGAAACATTTACAACATTAGCGACCATACAACATGTGACTGATGCTCACGACTGAGCAGAATCGCATCAACACGTTACTTATAAATTATTTTATCTGAGCGCGGAAAAACTAATAACATTTTCATAGTGAGAAAAAATATTTTTAATCAGCCGGTATGTAAATATACTTACGATATCATTTCTGGCAGACACGGGTATCGATGTCGGTGAGGTTCTGTAACAAAAAGCAGTAATTTGTTAGACGTTTTGATATTTCTACACTGTTCACCACAAGTAACTATATTTTTTTATAATATAAAAAGCTCTCCGACTTTGTAATACATATTTACAATAACTGAAAAAACCGACAAATATTCAATTTCTTTCCAATGTCCTGTTCAGCCTATTTCATGATAGCTAAACGAAATAAATCCAAGGTGGAAAAAAACATTGATACAAATCAATGCATTCACCCTCGGCATTCATTCGCGAGGATAGCAAAAAATGTGAAGACCCTGCGCAGACGTAACACCTGGCGCGAACAGCTGATTGCCGGATCGACTTGTTGCCTTCACTTTAAGGTTCACAATAAGCTAACTTTCGCGTCGGGGTTAGGGTATCATTATAGTGATATATCTAGATTTATGAGGCCGATACAAACATCTGTTCTCACAATTTATTTAAATAGAATGTAAATTAAAAACCATCTTCACAAAAAAATTGCTAATACAGAATTTCATTAATAGCTGACCCGGCGAACTTTGTACCGCCTATGTTCATCAGAAATAATGTAGGATTTTAAAGCTGAAAGAATTTTTCAAAATCATAACATTAACACTAAGATGAGCTGAGTAGTTTTAATTTTTTTTTAATCCTAGCTAATGTTAATGCACCTATCTTGCTAACTTAAACTTTGGAAAATTAAATACCAACCCAGCAATAACGAATCCAGACAGGCAGATGATCATTTTGGCACTTAACACTATCACTAGACAGATCACAGGTACAAGTTGGGCACTTCGGAACACAAACTAGTGCGAATATCGCAGGTACAACGTGGAGGAACAGTCGGGAGGCCGAGGGTCCCGGAGGAGCGCTCGGGTCGGGGTCCCGGGGGCGAATGCGCTGCGGCGCGGCGGCCGCGGCTTATATGCGCGCGCGCGCCGGCGTGATTGGCGCGCGCCGGCAGATGCGCACTCTGCGAGCCTGTAGGGCCGACCTCAACACACTTGTGAAAAAGAACCGTCTGAATGTTGTGCTTACCCTTAAGTGACATATATATCAGAAATGTTATCTTCATAAATGTTAATCATAAGAGTATAATATATATGTTGTTGGTATGCCATATAAATAAATAAATAAAATAAATAAATAAAAGAAAGGTGGCAAAAAAACAGCGAATCATTGTCATTGTGTTGTACTGAATATTGATACGTCATTAGCAAATCTTTAAACAAGCATTTTTATTTTACTGAAATAACTGTAAACTTTTTATATCCTATTGATAAAATTTTAGTAATAATGAGGCAAGCATGAAGCACATGAATTCTTTGTTGTGATGGAAATACTTATACGTTGTTATATTGTAGAATAAAAAAAATAAAATAAATTGTCTTCTAATCAAACAAACTCAGCTGCATAAACAAATACTATCTAAGAGCCCCACTGTTCTTGTAGATGCAAGCCTTGTGGCGCGGCAACCCTATCGGTGCGGGCGCACCTGCCGCACGCGACAAGTCCGCGGCTCCGCCACCGCCGGCGCTGCGGGCCGTGACACAAATATGCAAGTCTTTTTTCGTTATTTCCATTCAAATTACATTACACAGGCCACCTGATCATTCTGTTCGATGCAAAGCGCCCGTAAACGAATGGTTTCTTTTTTTTTTTAATAAACTAATAAACGATTGATCTCATTAAAGGGAATAAACTGATGGTGGTCTAGTTGTGTGATGGTTCACGGGTAACATGATGGTCGGTCTCGGATTTTGTCATTGCCATATCGTCATCATCATCATCTCAGCCATAGGACGTCCACTGCTGAACATAGGTCCACAAGGTGGACCGACGACATCATAAAGGTAGCAGGAAGGCGCTGAACGCAGGCCGCTACCAACCGGGCAACATGGAAAGCATTGCGTGAGGCATTGCCAAATATCAAAGTCAAAATTAAATGGAAAAACTATTAAACTTTAATTTACGAGCATTATAATTGTATAGTAAATGTAGTTACACGCAAGACCACAATAGACCTCGTAGATAAAGAATATCTTATTATATTATCGTTGGTAAATATTATCTTCCTTTGGCAAAATTGAATTTGAATGCTAGCTAGGGGTGTTCGCCCCTGCAGCGCCGAGATGCTGGGCCTGGCAGGTGCGCATTCCGGCGCGCAGCTGGCGCATTCCGCGGGCGCAGCCTCCGCGAGCCCTGGTGCCGCAATTACGCGACCTGTGCCCACGGACACTCCGCCGTTTGCGCATCAATTCAAATTCAACGCAGTAGGAAGTATATATTTTTAATAAATGCTTCCTAACACATATTAACAATTCACGCAGAATGATTAGCTTTAAAACACCAAAGTGTACATATTTAAAATATAGTTTGTTCGAAACTAAATCGATAAAATTATGCAGATCGTTATCATTCCAAGCAAATGGAGTATCGCCAAAAAAGTTTCATGTCTAAAAATATAATTAAGTACCACCTAGGTGGGCTATCTGCTATCTATGTGTAAACTTTTAACATCTAATGTACCATATTCTGCAAATAAATAATTTCATTTCATTTCAACAAACATCATAAAATACTTCGATGCTAGTTTTTATTGATAAAATAATCCATGTGATATTCTAGGTCCACTTAATAAGTAAATGCAAAGTTTAAATACGTCTTTGTCTTATTTGCTTTTCGCTTATAAATTAGCAGGTGATTCGGGCGGGCACAGCGATTGCATATGGCAAGGGCGGGTGGAGCGTAAGTTACGCTGCGTAACACAAGCAAGACCTTAAATCTAAATGTGAGACCAAAATATTGTAGAAGATAATTTATTATTATGTCATACGTAATTAATTTATGCTCTTTCAAAGGTGGTCATCGACATCAACATTCTCCCCTTCTAGTTTTATTGCATTTTTGGATTATTATTTAAAAATAACACGTAATTTTAAACTTAGCTTTAGTATAATCATTCTAAATTGTAAATGGGCTGATAAACGGCATGGGCTTTTATTATCCAAAACGGGAGGAAATACTTAGTTTAAATAATTGTAAGTGCCACAAAAAGCAGAATGAAGTGTCCCTAGATAAAAGAACAATAGGAGCATCAGCTAATGAGCTCAGTGTCTTTGAATAGCAGGTAGCGGCCTGGTCAGGTACTTAGTGCTTATCGCAGGCGGGCGGGGAGGCGAGGTGGCGGTTGTTTTTGCCGCGAACAGCTGTCGGGCACACGCAGCCTCCGCGCCCCCGCCCCGCGCCCTCGCATTATCTCGTTGCGCCCTTTCTACGGCGAAGGTATTGTCGAGACATCCGTTACGATTCCCTTTTCAGTTGGACCGGATTGAGCCTTTTTTCTTGTCTGTTATTATCGGAGCGAAGAATTTGTTTGGTTCGTTTCTTTTTATAGCGACGGGTGCCGCATTGTGCGCAAAAACACTTATTGCGTGATTGACACAATAATTGAATTCATGCGGTATTGAACAAAGCTGGTAATTTTAAGAACGATACGACGATTTCGCGACCTATATTACTATTATACACATAATATACATATTAAACATAAAAATAAGACTGCCATTGAGATAATAATATGTAGAACGGAACGTGCATAATAGTTTACCATTACTTGATATTTATTTACGTGTTAATTAATGAAATGCCTAAGTGGATAGATAAGTATCAGGTCCTTGTATCCAACCGGTTTAATGGGTATACAGGGTATAGTGGGTGGGTATATATAGGGTGTTTGGTGGAAGGTTTAGACAAGCATCGTTCATTTGACCCTAAGTCAGCTACTTTTTTTTTTTTACTTTTGTAAACTGTGGCGGCTCATGACTATCTATCCAATCATTATTAGAATCCAAAATTATATCTGTTATTAGACCAAAGACATATTCGAAATTAATAAATACTAAATAATAAACTGTGGAAACTTAATTGGTTTATGTGTTTTCTCACTGCACCTAAGTTAAATTATATTGTAACTGTATGTTTCTCAAAAATAAATAAATAAAATAAAAATAAATTCGGTAGAAAACACACGAGAAAAAAAATCATCAGTTTTTACATTTCAGAAAAAAAAATAATAAAAACAAAAAGTCAATTCAAATAAAAGTAGCCGACTTAGTGTCAAATGGGTGAATTTGTATTCTCAAAATGACCTTACCTATACATCCACGAAGTTTATCTAACCTTCCACCAACCCTGTATAAAAGGTAAGCAAAATAATAATGTTTCTGATGACGAGTGTATCGTCAGTCATCTAAACAAGATTGCGCCGGAGTGGATGCGGAAGCGAGCGCACGTGCGGCGCGGTCACGTGGCCACCATTTACCTGGCGCTCTCCTCACCCCAAATTATCCTTCAGCCTTTATGTTTCAAGGTACATTTGCCTATCAGTTACCTTTTTTAGCTTTGTTTTACGCAAATACTAATTACATATTAAGATTTTACAAGTAAAACTCTTGCAGTAGCAACAAAAGAACTAAAAGATGTATACTTTTACATGTGTTATAGGTGTACATACATACTACTTAAATAAATATTAACATTAAGTCAGTTAGTTGAGCACTCAATCGGCAAGTACAAAAGCTGGTAAATCAGGTAGTGATTAACATTAGGATTGCAGAAGCAACGACGTAAATAAAGAGGGTATGAAGATGGTATGGAGAACACTGGTATTTTAAAAATAAGTAGGGTAATTTGATTTCGTCCACCTTGTCGGACTCTGCACATTACCACCTAAAACCTTAACGGTATTTAATATCCCCAAGTAGTTAATAAATAAAAAAAAACTATCATCATTTCTGTCGGACAGGGGTAAAGTCACGGATAATATTTTACAGAATTCATATTATACTAGAGTGTATTCAAGTGGTCGATCCCGATCTCGGTTAAAAGAAGACTTATAGCTCGAACATCTGCAGCGAGTTAATTGCTCGAGGCCACGTTCATCGCAGGACAGGGACCCGTATCTCCGCGGGAGTAGGGCGAGAGTGGCGTGCGGCGTCGCGCAGACGGCTCGTCACCTGGCGCGGCCGTAGATAGCGCACAAGGAGCGACAAAAAACGAGCACCTGGCGTGTGCGCTCACTGCACGTCGCCGTGACACTTGCATACTATACACATTCATATCGACAATTCACGGAACTATTACTTTACGCTTTAAATCGCGTTAGCCGGATTGTTTGACCGGTAACGCCTTGTTCTCCTCAGCTGTCAGCGAATATGATTGTAAATAATGCACAGTTGGTCCCTAAACAATGTGGCCATAAATATTAGCGAGTAAACAAATGCACCACTGACAAAAAGTTGGAAGATAAGTTTGGTGTCTTGAAGGCCAATGATTGTGAATTACTATTGTTTCGCGAGAAACCTTTCGCTGCCTGCTACAACGTGTCCCTACTCGATCTCGCGAACAAAGACCCTGTGCAGAGACTGGAAAAGTAGGTAGCAATAAGAAATTAAAAAAAAACTAAATATTGTGCCGTTGTGCCCGTAACGAATTACATAAAACTATGTACTTACATCTTGTTTTGTAAATAGTTTTTGGACTTTTATTTCTATACTAAGGAAATATTTTGATTGTTTGTTTATTTGTCATTTATGACAGCTGTCATTAAAATCATGCCTATCAATAAATGTGCTGATAAAATCTGCGCAGGGCAATGTTGTGGCCATTGCTAGGATTACACGGATTATGACGTTCCTGCGGTTGACCGATTTTAAAAAATCGATCGTAATTATACTGAAGTTTCGTTTTACTCTACATTATATTATAACTCTATAGATGTCTTATCTAAATACTAACTCAAAGGTGACTGACTGACTGACATAGTAATTATCAACGCACAGCTCAAACCACTGGACGGCTGAAATTTGGCATGCAGGTAGATGTTATGACGTAGGCAACCGCTAAGAAAGGATTTTACGAAACTCCACCCTTAAGGCCTCAGCCTCGAACTTAGCGGGCAGCGGGGCGGGAGCGGCGGCGGCGCTGGAGCAGGGCGGGCAACGCAGACCCGTTCTCGAAACAAGCGGGCAGCTCGCGCGGCGCTTTAGCGGCGAAGTGTTGTGTTCGGGGTTGTGTTGTTGAGATATTTGTTTTTATTCGCAAACGAAATGTCTGAACAACGGCGACAATTTTATTTCGATTCAAATTTATTCCTAACGCTCGATTTATTGTGGGCAAAAGAAGGAGTGCGCTGCCCGCTCGTTGCCCGCTCCCTCGCCGCTGCCCGCTCGTTGCCCGCTGCCGCCCCGCTGGCCGCGCCGCTGTTTTCGAGAACCGGTCTATTTGATTTTACGCATAAGATCCTGCCGCTCCCGCGCCGCCGCCGCCGCCGCCCCGCTGCCCGCTAAGTTCGAGGCTGAGGCCTAAGGGGGTAAAACGGGATCCACGCGTACGAATTCGCGGGCGGCCGCTAGTGACTGTATACATGTCTATCATTCAAAATACACTCAACATCAAATAAACCGCACCTTCCGCGACGCGAACTTTAAAGATTTTCTTCTGACACAATCATGGTACCCCAACAATATTGGTGTTATTTGAAAGCCCAATAAATATCCTTAAAGAAAAATACATTTCATTTCTAAATAAATGATTAACATATACCATAAATGTGACTTGAAAATAGACCTCACTTTGGGCTCACCTCTGGGATCAATTAGACCAATTTTTATGGTTATAAAACCAAATAAAGATCTCACGTGTCCTCTTTAACAGATGGATAGCGATTAATCCCAACTTAACATTTTTATAGTCATAAAAAATGGCTATAGCGTAACTACCTATTTTTTGAAGAAGTGACTCTGGATCCTTATAAAGACACATTTTTGGGGTAAAAACCTTTCCTTTAATGAAATGAAGTTTAGAACTAGGCTTTCAAATGGTACCAATGTTGGTGGGAAGTGGGGATGCATACGTTTGATAAGTGCTTGTCGCGGGAGGTGCGATTTATTTGATGCCGAGTGTAGAATTAGTTTTTATTTGGTCAAATAATCTGTTTTATTGTAAAGATGGAACCAAACGTAGTGTGTACAACATTAAGATACCTATTATTTCCCCTCCCCCAATCCCAACTAATATTATAAATGCGAAAGTAACTCTGTCTGTCTGTCTGTCTGTTACGCTTTCCCGCTTAAACCTCGCAACCGGTTTTGATGAAATTTGGCATAGAGATAGTTTGAGTCCCGGGAAAGAACATAGGATAGTTTTTATCCCGGTGACAGACAAAATTCCACGCGGGCGAAGCCGCGGGCGGAAAGCTAGTAGTACATATAGGTCTTGAGAATCGTTAATTGACATTTACTAATTCCATTAATTTGATTTCGAACTTGATTAAACCATAAATATCTCATGATAATAATCAGGATTATGACTACATCCTTGTGATCGTCGTCTACTGCACTGATAAAAACTAATATACAACGGGTGTCCCGTATATTGGGGACAACCTTACTGTCACATATTCTATTCATTGTGGTGGCCAATTTTCGTTCTATGACTTAAATAATATGAAATAATGAAATGTAATGTATGAACTGTATTGTGTATGTGACTTTGTTGGTGTACCTAATAAATAAATAAATAAATATAGAAAAACGTTTCTCACCGTGGTGTGTGGAGTATGTGGTAGTAAGGTTATCCTTGATTTACGGGACACCCTGTATTGACATAAAAGAGAAGCGACTCACCGTATGATGCCGTTGTAGACGGGCGGCGGCGGCGGCTGCGCGGGCGCGGCGGGCGGCGCGGGCGGCGGCGACTCGAATATCTACGAAAAAACCGCGGTCAGTACGCCACGAGAAACAGTTCATAAGGCTCGGCTACTGTATACGCTGAGATAATTTTGGAACCATTGGTATAGGGCAGGGTTTCCCAATTTTTTTTTGCCAAGGAACCCTAATTGATTATACTTTTCCTAGCGGAACCCCCGTACTACTCAGCCCGCACGCCCTGCCCCTCCCTTGTGCGTAAACGGTAGTCGGTGCGAGCGAACAACGTCGGTCACGAAACGTGGGATAATATTTTTTACGGAACCCGGGCGGCCTTTCCACGGAACCCCAAGGTTCCGCGGACCACCATTCGGGAACCGCTGGTATAGGGTACCTATAAATTGATGCACTTTTTTTTATGAAGCCGATAAAACGCGATTTTATTTCTTTGGTATTATGAATTTTTTAGTCCCTGATACCGACACACTATTGAATTGGATTGGACAACACACGGCCAGGTTGGAGTGCGTCATCAGGTCCTCGTCGCTTCGTACAACACGGGAGCCGCGCTCACCTCGTGGTAGTGCTCCAGCAGCGTCTCGACGATGACGTTGTAGAACTTGAGCTCGAGGATGGAGGCGACGGTCTCGCGCTCGGCGCGCAGCAGCGTGGGCCCGAAGCACACGGCCAGGTTGGAGTGCGTCATCAGGTTCTTGTCGCTCTTCGCCGCCACACTGCACGGTGGATTGTTTCGTGAGTTGAAATCGTGCCAAGCATAAAGTCATAAGTGTGTAGAGGATTGAATAATTAAATCGCAAAGCAGGCTTCCACGGATTGTGAAAGCTTTGCCATTTAATTATTTTTACAAGAAGTGAAGTTTGCTAATATACAGTAGGGAATACAGATGAATATTTGTTAGCACGTACTTGCGCAGGTGCTCGAGCACGAGGCGCAGCATGTCGCGGTTGGCGGGCGGCAGCGCGTGCACCAGCGCCCGCAGCCCCGCCACCCGCTCCGCGCGCCGCTCGCTCTCTGTCGGCAGGGATTACGCTTTAACACTATCATACACAGTTGATCACTATACATTGAATAAGAATTCTTGTCTAAAGCCTGGTCCGTGAGCACGTAGAATCCCGTCCAATGACCCCAAGCTACCCATCCCTATCGCTCGCGCGTAATTATGTTGCTGTCGCGACTGTGCGACGGGCGCCCGCAGGGAGTGTGCGAGCTTGGGGTCATTGGACGGGATTCTACGTGCTCACGGACCAGGCTTTAGCACAAGTCAACGGATTCGGAGACATCGTGGGTTTAGTAAAAAATGGAATATTTTATTTAGCAACACAAAACAACATCAAGAAAATGAAACAAAATTAAACTGAATAAAGTAAGTAATGTGCGTGTCACCGAAACGGTATCCATTCAGTATTATACTGAGGTGTCATAAGGGACACCACAACGTCTTCCGTGGACACTCGAGACGCGAGAGGCACCGCTGAAACAAAGCAGCAAAGCGTAATTCGGTATCGGCGCACTCACTGGCCACGGCGATGAACTGGCGGTGCAGCTGGCGCGTGAGCAGCGGGTCGGGCAGCGCGCGCAGGTAGCTCTTGAGCGCCGACGTGAGCGTGCGCGTCTCCCAGTCGGCGGCGTCGGTGAGCGCGGGCGGGCGCGGCTCGCGCGCCGACGCCACCAGGCGCGCCACGCGCGACGCGACCCCGGCCACGCGGTACAGGCCCTGCTCCTCCAGCCCGCGCGCCTCCAGCGCCGCCACCACGCGCCGCACGAACGCGAAGCCCGCCGCGTCCAGCGCGCTCGCGCCCTCCGCCTCCGCCGCGCCCCCCGCGCCCGCCGCCCTGCGGGGAGGCACAGTTATAGCAGGCCAGGGGAATCGAAAACAAAACACGCGCGGCGTATCCGCCGGCGGGTTTAATCCACAAGGGAGTAGTGAGTGATGTTCTATCAGCCACAGATCCAGCTACCCATTTCCGATCATGTTGTCTCGATCTTTTACAAAGAATAAATTTTTTTTATGAAAGCGAGAGAAAAACGGAACGAAAATAAGTAGCTGGAATTGTACGCACGCGTATTGTTCACCACAGAGTACATACCACTGTAAAAAAATATCTATGGAAAAAAATACGCGTGTGATGCGCTAGATGGCGACACAGTAGCGTCTCGTAGCAGTGAGCCCTATCGGCATAGTACCGATCACTGATGTATGTAAACGAAACGGTGCTCGACTGTGTGACAAGCTAAATTACACCATGTTGAGGACATTGAGTATACATTTTTTTAAATACCTTCGCGAGATAAACTTTCTGTACGTAGTACAGATTATTATTCTGTGGTTATACTAAATCTCGACATCGACGGCGCCTGCAGCGTGAGCGGCGGCCGCTCGCGCTCGGCCGGCACGGCTCCCGGCAGCAGCCACTCACCTGGCTGTGGGCGCGGCGTGCGGCGCGGGCGGGCCGTCGAGCGCGCGCAGCCAGGCGGCGCGGTCGCGCTCGGACAGCGCCTGCAGCGTGAGCGGCGGCCGCTCGCGCTCGGCGGGCACGGCCTCCCAGCAGAAGCGTCGCTCCGGCGGCTCCGCGCAGCCGCGTCCGCCGCACACGCACACGCACTCGCCGCTGCCGCCCTGCCAACGCAGGAACAAAACATTTATTGTATGTTACGTTACAATTACAGACGGGTGTAATGTGTAATTTAACACGAATACTACGTCTACGTGTGGACGGCATTACGAGCATTACATGTAAAGTTCTGTCCGTACATTACACCCCTCTGGAGCTTTAAATGGTCAAAGTTTAGATACGACAGATAAAATAACGAACACATACCGTTTTGACGTTTATCTGATTATATGGCGTAAGCGATAGCGTTCGCGAACTACGCTCGTATGTACAATACTGTTTACTCCACGTCGTGCCAAATGCCTCTGTGAAACAACGAAATTTACAAAAGTTAACCACTACATCGTAAAAGACTGCGACAGTTTGAAGTGGTACTGTAATGGTGGCTTACTTTTTTCCATTAGGAACAGGTACCCGGCGCGCGGGACGCCGCCGCTGTCTTCCCCGGCTTCTTCTTCTTTGGTCTGGAAGAACAGAATGTTACATTTTTCATATTAAGATTTCGTCCTGTAGTGTAGTCTTCCTGTAAGTTATTAGTGTATTATGAAAAATTAAGAAACGACACAATAGTTAAAGCTAAAATTAGCATAAGATCTTGTGTCCTGAAAATCCGATGTCAATATCTAAATACTAACATGAATGAGAAGCATTTAGAATACATTGGATTTGCACGTATTTTATTATTTATTAGCATTGATAAAAGAGACTCTAAGGAGAAACTACCTTTACCATCGCAATAAGAAACCCAGAACTCACCATCTGCCTGACCTCCATCATCTTCTTCATGAGCGACTCGGTCTGCTTGCTGGTCTCCTCGAAGTTGCTCCGCGTCTGCAAGCGCCGGAATGTTAGTCGCACTCACACACAGTACACAAAACGCACGCCATGCTCTGTTGCTGTCTCGCTCGCACATGCTTTCACACGTCACGCTAAACTCGGTGAAGACCATAAAGTTAATATTCCTTCGGAATAAAGCAACAACCACGCGCAGTCAAATGAAACGAAACCGATGTCACAGGAAGTAATTTGTGTAACAAGTTTTTTCAGGATTATTTCAGTTTTAGTACAATTAATCAATCACTGCACCATACACCGCGTTTATGCAGCATTATTTGTCAAAAATATCCACGATAAATTCTGAAAAAATCTCAGAGCTCAATTTTCAGCGTGCAAATGAGTGCTAACGAACTGTCAAATAGTTGAGAAAAAAAAAGGTTCTGTTACGTCGCATCACGCATCTCTTTTTATCACACGGTGTTGCTGCTAGTGAGTAGTGACATATCGCATGCTCAGTCTTTTGTTGCTCTATTCCGCTAGATATATTCAACTTTATCGTGAAGACTAAACTAGTGGGGAGATTTCCAATGAATATTGTGGTAAAAATTTACAAAATTCGAATGGTTATGTATCTTCTAAAATGAGCTGGATAGATTGATCTCATGACTAATTAATTAGTGACAGTTGGCAAATATTAGGCTAAAATATACCATTGGTAATCGTGATTCACTACGAACTGCTAGAATCATCAATGTTACGGACACTAATTTTTACATTAGTCATATCTATCACATTGTCTCGAAGATAACTCTAGCAAACGATTTGACATATTTCTCGTCCCTGACACGAAGGCATGAGTGAAGAAACAGGGGCGATATGACGAAATAGTTCTGCTGAGCCGGTCCTCGTGTTCGTAAATTATCGTCTGAAGTATTAATGTGACAGAGAAATGATCAAATTCATGTTAAATCAAAAGGCAGACGCTCATTTTGTGAGCCAATGTTACCACAGCAAAGGCACTCGAAAGCAAGCAGCGTTAGCGTGGCGAACGCCAGGCCACCGCTCAAACCTACTTATAGCGCGTCGCATCTCCCTTCGAGCCCTGGGCTGAGACCTCAGATCACCTGGCAAAGTCACGTATAACATTAATAAACGGTTGCTCTAGTGTGGGTGGGCAGGCGGAAGGAGGTGTGGTGAGGGCAGGCGGAGGGAGGTGTGGTGGAAGGAGGTGTGGTGGGGGCAGGAGGGGCAGGGCTCACCCGCTGGATGCGCAGCTGCAGGTCGCGCACGCGCGGCTCGGCGTCGGCGTGCACGTCGCGCGCAGTGTGGTGGAGGAGGTGTGGAGGGAGGTGTGGTGGAGGTGTGGAGGGAGGTGTGGTGGGGGCAGGCGGAGGGAGGCGTGGTGCAGGGCTCACCCGCTGGATGCGCAGCTGCAGGTCGCGCACGCGCGGCTCGGCGTCGGCGTGCACGTCGTGCGCGGTGTGGTAGGGGAGGTGTGGTGGGGGCAGGCGGAGGGAGGCGTGGTGCAGGGCTCACCCGCTGGATCCGCAGCTGCAGGTCGCGCACGCGCGGCTCGGCGTCGGCGTGCACGTCGTGCGCGGTGTGGTGGAAGGTCCACCAGCCGAACACGAAGCCCAGCAGCGTCTCCACCAGCTCGAACTTCTTGCGCTCCTGCACCGCCTGCAGCTGGAACACGTACTCCAGCGACGCCTGGCAGAAGTCGCGCTCCGCCATGTCCATCGCGGCGTCCGCCTGCAATGACACGACGACTCATGTTTACTTCATTACGTTTAAAAGCCTGATTGACACAAATCTAATGGTTCTAAACACCATTATCGTTACTGTAACTCATTTAGGAGTTGGATGGTCAGTCAAGTGGGTGGCCCTAACGGTAGCGTCAGGATATTGCATTCCCATCAGGGTAATACATTAGGGGTACCTACCCCCTGCCTATTCGAAAATAAAGTTACAATTTTTGACTAGGACAAACGCATTTTATTCAACTGGCATAAGATACAAGTTAAATAAAATCTACTAACTAGTAGTATGCCAGTCCTAACATAGATAGATAAGTGCATACCTCCTGGAAGACATTCTCTGGCTTCTTGGTGGACAGCGAGAGCGTCCGCTCCTGCGTCTGGCAGAACTTGGCGGTCTTCTTGTCGAACTTCTTCTTACCTTCCTGCAACAGACGTGCCCAACATTACCTTCCGTTCAACAATAATAACTATTTGGAAAACCTTCTAAGTGTTGTGGTTGTTTTCAAATAAAGCGGTTACAAATAATAAAAACAACTTTTACTAAAATTATAAAAACAAGTTAACTTCTGCTACGTGAAAACCTTTCAAAATCGCCTTTCTACACAACTTAACAATGGTCTACTTTGCGTTAATTTCGCGATTTTAATAGGTATAGATTTCAACTAAGTGAAGAGGGTGATATTGGTGAGCTAATCATCTGTGACATTACATACAAATGGACATCATATAGGCACACGTGTCTGAGCCATTTCTTGTTGCAACATAATGCATTTCACTATGCAACTATTCGTTTTAACTTTAGTGTAATAATTTTAGTGGTTTTCAGTCATTTGCTGGCAATTACTAACTGGCTGGCAAGCTAATATACAGGGTGTTAGGTAAATGGGTATATGAGCCGACACTAGCCCATGTTAACATGGGTATATAAATGGGATGGTGAAGTCAGAAATTTGATATCATCATTTTAATTTTTTTAATTTCCATACAAAATATTTTTTATAAAATCCGATTTGCTCATCATATACCCATTTACCTAACACCCTGTATAAACCGCCAAATTAAACAAGCATCGTCGTGAACGAGTCTACGCGTGGTTTTTATCTCTCACATCCACGCAAAATGTAAATAAATATCTCGATTTGGTCGGCGGAGCATAACCAACTTATTGGCTGCGTAATATGGCAACGGACACGACAATGAACACCTAAAATAATATCAAGATTTTACACAAGCAGAATACTGTCGTTATTTATCCGTTCTCTTTAAGTTCATCAACTCTATACAGGCACCTACTCGTATTTTAAAAATACACATAATATACTTGATTGATGGTTACCTACCTACTTTTTAGAAGGATAATTAGCAACTTATGAATAAATTCTGTGTGGCATATTATTATTTATTTATTTATTGAATAGGACAACCAACAAGACATACACTGGAAGACAATCAATATTTACAACGTATTTAACTTAATCTAAGTGCTGCCTTAATTATAGGTTTCCACGGCATTATCATGTAAACTTGAATGAAATACTTTGTAAATCCGCATATCTATGCTAGCTAGTACGCACGTTAGTGTCAGTTGCGTATGTTTTATTTGCATAACATAGTATGTATAGTATGAGCGTCAGCGACAGTGACGTGAGGTGAGACAAGACGGGCTTCGCGCGGCGCCGCGGCCGGGCTCCGCGCGACCTCGGAGCGCTCGCGTGACTCGCGTGCCCGACTGCCGTGCGAGCACTGCTTGACCGCCATCAATCATCAAAACATCAACACGCATGCATATAGATATCACCTTGACTTTTATCCATATACGTGCATCAGTCTGAATATATTGACATTCAAAACAAACAAACGTTCTAATGGAATTTTCCTAACGACACACAATTGATTTATAATATTACTGTGTCAACATTGCATTGAGGACAACGCCTCAATAGTGCGTTGTCAAATCTAAGTAGCATACATTTATTGAAGTTTCTTATCAGTACATCTGCAAACAAGCAATTACTAATCAGCGTTAACCTCACCCACTAATATTTTTATGATAAAATCGCAACTTTTACAAGCATTGAGTATCTGACCGAGGTACGAAAGGTGGCATCAAGATTATCTGGTACCACAGATGAGTAAGATGTAAGAACATAAGAAGTACATAGTCTTTAAATGTAGATAAAATCGAAGTCTTTTGTCAGAGTATAGATTTGATGTTAATGTTATGACTAGACGTTGAGCCGGCGCAGGAGCAAGGCCGCGCGCCGCGTGCTGTCGCGTCGATATCTTGCGGCGGAACAATGAGATACGGCCAATGCAGTCCAAACCAAACGCTGCGTCACACTGTAAGTGATTCCCCGCCAATATTCACGACAAAATGAGTACACATCATAATTAAGAGCGTTGTAGCAAAAAGTTGGCGTTCGAATTTTAGGTTTTTATTGCTTGACGTCGCGTAGTGAGTGCGCAAACTGCATTTATCTGTACAATTTCAACGCTGCGTCGACTAAACGATCTTAATCCGTAGTTGTATCGTACCTAAGACAGTACATCATACATAATAATAAAGAAATAATGTATAATTTACCTATTTGATTTTTTTTCAGATCAGACTTTTAGCAAAATCAAGTTACGTTAATTAATGTATTTTTTACACTAGTAAATCCCGCGACAAGTTTTTAATCTCTAAATTGAGTAAAGTAATAAGTAGATGGGTTTGAAAGAATTTATGTTTTATTTTATTCTTTTTACAGCATCAAAAGCTTGTTTATGAAAAATATTTACTATTTAAATTTTACTTTTGACTTTTTAGTTTTTATGATGCGGGATGGAAAAATTAAAATTTATTCTGATTTTGAGAAAGAAATTACAAGTCCGATTTACCTAAACAAATAAATTAAAAATACTTGCGGATCAAAAGTACTCAATCATACTACAATTTACGAAAAAATCACGCGTGACGCATATACGTCAGTGGGCAGTCAACTGACATAGACCCGGCGTCTACGAGTGCCAAAGCACGACTGATTTATGCCATTTGATGCACCCGATTTTATAGTATTTTCAAATTAATTTTTCATTTGAAGATTGAAGATAGATATTTTTTCTTTTTCACACAATAATAGTACTATGTTTCTTCTTAAGTATAAAGTAGTTTATGTTGCCAAATGACTTTTAGATTATGAGATGTGACCTGTTTTCTTGAAGTAATTTTCTCGAATTTTGACTATCTTAGACATGATAAAAATGCATTTTAATGAATTAAACATCAAAATTTTCTCAATACACTTTCTTCTTCAGAGTATGCTTATTCTAATGAATACATTCTATCTTCTTACTTGGAAATAAATTTGTTGTAATATTGGTTCAAAGTTGTGCCTTCGCGAGTTACCTGGAAATCGGGCTTTCGAAATTCGCTGTTTTCGTAGGCAAAAATCCAATTTGAACGAGATTTTGTCAATAGACATTCCGTAAAAACGTATGATAATTACGATGATATAAGTCAAAGGAAACTATAACAATAAATTATATGACTAAAATCATTTCGAAATCTGCCAAATTCTCGATTTCTGCATGAAAAATGTGACAACGCTCTTAAGTAAAGCCTAGTAGGAGCATCACATGGAACTTTTGGAACTGCGTTACTTTACTCAGACAGGCAGTCTTCAATAATAATTTAATATAGGTGCAATTTCCAAAGATAGGTAAAACGTAGGCTTTCTATTGTTTGTTTATTTGTAGATACGTTTTTCATATCAACACATCAAGCCGGTACCTAATGAAAACCCTTAAACAAAAGTCCTAAATAAAATCATCAATTTTGCAAAGCAGGCACCACGTCAATTAGTATGCATGCACATTATGATAAAAATTATTGCTGGAATAAAAAGCAGTTTATGGAAAATGTAAAACCTATAAAACAACCCTAATTACGGTTAGGAGAGTTTCTCCAAAGCCATGCTGATTGTTGGTCACGTCACCCGGCGGCGGCGGCGGGCGCATGCTAAACTTTCCTAATTAGAGCATACCGGCGCGGACGCACGCAAGCTGCCGTGAGCGCGGCCGCCGGCCTGCCTCGCTCATTACGGGCCGCGGCGAGCTATCATTAAGCCTGAGCAGCAGCTTTCAGATAAGGATAGGCTTAGCTAAGAAAAACAGATTGCATGACCTAGTTCAGACCTAACCATAAAAATGTTAGAACCTAGCAAGATTATCGACTTCTATGTCAAATAAAGGCGACCATATATTTTTATTTAATTTCGTAACTTTTTTTTACACTTTTAAACAATTTCATTTTCTTAGTAATATTTAATTAATTAATCCAATTATGAAAAACAGTTATTAAAAAACTCGCCTACCACTTGTACATAAATGCTCTTGAAAATATGTATAAATGCGGACTGAGGAGGATACCTTAGTTAAATAGTGGTTGAGCGAATTTGACTTGAACTATTTTCCGCTATTGATAATAAGGCCACATCATTACAGGAAAAGTTATAGGTAAAACTGTAAATAATAACAAACCATTTAAGACTATCAGCAATTAGGAAATAATTGAATAACAAAATGTATCGCTTTCGAGGACGATTTGGATTGCAATATTGCATGGAGTCCGACTGTCCAAGCGTGAGCTCGAGCGGCGCCCGAGCGCGGCGCTATCAGTGCGCTTTGTTTGCTGCAACAGTGCAACCGTCGCGGCGATAATTACGCGGCGCATTCCGCCGATCGACATGTTATACTCGGTGGTATGCTCATGTCGCATGTACGCGCTCGATAAATTCACTTCCAGTCAATTCATATTTACTCCGCGCAGTCTAAAATTATAACTCTATTGTCTGTTTCCTCTTCATCGACGGCGTATTAATTATGCACACATAATTGAACATTGAATTCTTTATAATTACTTTATTATGATAATAAACTTAAGTTTAAAATAATGTAGAGAACTTGGTAACATTTTTATGCATCGTAAATCTAGGCTAGGGCTCCGCGACCGAGGGGGCCCCCATCTACTCAAAAGACCTTTTTCCAGATGATAAGGGCCCCCTTTGATCCTTAAAGTACCCAGAGTTGCAGGTTAAAGACGGCCCTGAAACAAGGTGTAACAAAATAGTGTTTGTGGGATGCTGGGCTCACCTTGACGGCGCCGATGTGCTCCTTGCGGAACTTCTCCAGCGGCTGGATGATCTGCTCGTGAGCGCGGCCCAGCTGCAACACACACCACACACATTGCATTTTCAAACTGTCACATAACATGCAAGTCGGGAAATGCTACCAGAAACTATTTGTCAAATGTCTTCAATTCAATATTAAATTTGTTCATTATGGTATCTGGACAAGGAATTTAATTAGGTATTTAGATACTTGATGGAAGTTTTTCAAGCCGGTTCAATCGCAAGAAAAAAAAGTCATAACATTTGTGTTAGGAGTGGGATAATTTTATGATTATTATTGCATAATAATTACAAAAATTTCAGAACAACATTTATGTAATTATTTAGTACCAATTAACAATTTATGAACAAAATGATTATTTTTTTACTAAAAATGTAAGTAATCCATAACCAATGAAAGTATTTAACAAAACGCCCGGCGTTTAATAAACACAAATATCTTATAAATAGATCAAAAACAGACAGCCATCAGTCAGTCCCTTTTAGAAGCGTGTGCATTACGTAGAATCCGGTTGTAAAGAATACAAACAATGTAACTTGCTAAGTCACTTTAAAATGGCTAAGNTTTATAAGCAAAATACCAATGGATTTGCAATACCTACATGTAGTAAATGACTCCATTGTTCCTGTAGTTCTTCGTTTCACTTGTTTTATTGCACGTAACGACGCATTATCCAAAATATCGGAGAACATTTCCTTAGTACGACTGAATCGCGACTAACCTAGCTACGCGGCCGATGTTCGTTTCTGGGCATATCGCGGAGACACGCGCCACGCCCCCGTTTCACATCTATTCCCTTCTATGATCTGAGGGCCCCCCACTAGATAGACCGATGATCTGGTGAAGGTCGCTGGCCGTAATGGAAATCCTTTGAGGTCTTTGTCCATTAGTGGACGTAATTTGGCTGAAACGATGACGACGACGACGACGCTAACTGATAACTGTTTCTAAGAGTGGCATTTACGGGACTAATACCACTTCTCTTTCCCATTACTGTATATCCTGTATAGTCATAAAAATAACTTATGTTCTGCAAATAGGCTTTTATAAAGCGCTTTTACACGTCCCAGTATTACTATTTATAACCCTACCACTACTTCGGGATAGTAAATAGGCCAGAGGGCCTACTGAGTTTGCATAACTAGTGCAGAGCGCGTCAAAAATGACATTAAATGTCAGCGCCCCTAGCGGGAAACGTTCAAAAACTAAAATTTTCATACATTTTTTAAACACGCTCACTAGTGAACGCTCACTAGCGAGCGCGTTTGATGTAAACTCACAATTAGCTCACAGTGCTCAGAAGAAGCGCGAGAAACTCACAGCCGTATTCACAAACATTACTATGAGGTCTCACAGTACGCGTGGACGCACAGGGTGACACACGAACCAATCACAGAGCTTTTATCAACGCTGTGCGTTCGATTTGTTGCTTCACTTAAGCAAGCATCGTTTGTGAATACGGGCGTCAGTCACATTTTAAATGAATAATGATGCCAGCCAGCTAGATAAGTCAAGTAAGTCAAGTCACTAGGGACTTGTCGTCGCGCAGTCGGGTAAAAAGTAAGATAAAACGTTTTCAATAAATGAATTACATTGTACCGGTGAAGGTTGAGTAGTCCAGGGGGATTTTACTTAGCCTATTTTCTTGGAACCCCCAACGAATTTAATCAGAAGAATGGAGGAGTTCGAAATAAAATATCGACTTTCCTTCATTGCAAAGCGGGAGACGAGAATGTCTGAAAAGGTACCTATTCAAGATTTGAGAATGTCTCAAAAGGTACCTATTCAAGATTTGAGAATGTCTGAAAAGGTACCTATTCAAGATTTGAGAATGTATGAAAAGGTACCTATTCAAGATTTGAGAATGTCTAAAAAGGTACCAATTCAAGATTTGAATGACATGAATTCTATTCTATTATGTAGTTTTTTTACACGTTCGTTCGTTTCTTTCAGCCAAATGACGTCCAAGGCCTCCCCCAAGGATTTCTATAATGAACCGGCACTGCGCTGCCCGTATCCAGGTAGTTCCAGTGATCTTCACCAGATCGTCGGTCCACCTAGTGGGAGGCCTGCCCACGGCTCGTGGTCGCCACTCAAGAACTTTTCTGCCCCAGCGGCTATGACCTCTGCGAGCTATGTCTCTATCATAGAGGAATACGACAATGCTGGTAACATTGTTGTTATAGCGACAGGCTTAGCCAAGATGGCGGACTTAGAACAATCATTACCATTTATTTTGTCTATTATTACATACTTAGCTACAGCTTTATCTATTTATTGCATAACGTTGAAGTCAACATTGTTTTTCGGAAAATTAAAAAATATAGTTGTGTTAGGTCATGGCCTAGCTGATAAGTACTGTTTATTTTATCTGGAGGTTAGGAGTTGGTGGTAATCGGTAGATAAAGTTATCTATTACGTTACTATGTGTTTCATTAGAACTCTTATTATTTATTTCCCTACTAGCTTTTGCCCGCGGATTCGCCCGTGTGAAATTTAGTTTGTCACAGATCGTCTTAAATTATAGCCTATAATATGTTATTCTGGGTTATAAAGAATAATACTGTAAAGTTTCATCAAGATTCGTTCATTAGTTTTTGCATGAAAGAGTAACAAACATCCATCCAGACATCCAAACTTTCGCATTTATAATATTAAGATTCTAGTAAATTAAAGAGGGCCGTCCACAGGGTGGATCGACGACCTCATAAAGGTAGCAGGAAGGCGCTGGATTCAGGCCGCCACCAACCGGCCATTGTGGAAATCATTGAGGGAGGCCTATGTTCAGCAGTGGACGTCCTGTGCCTGAAATGATGTTGATAAAATTAAAGAGGGTCGCTCTTCTGCAGTGGGGATTAATACCCTATTGAAGATAATGATACCCAAAATGATCACTTCGAAAAAGTGTTCAATGAAATAAGTAATAATCAAACAATCTATAATATCTATACTAATATAAATGCGAAAGTAACTCTGTCTGACTTGCTTTCACGCGTAAACCACTGAACCGATTTTGATTTTAGCATAGAGATGGCTTGAGTCCCGAGAAAGGACATAGGATAGTTTTTATACCGGTTTTGAAACAGGGACGCACGCGATAAAGTTTTTCTGTGACAGACAAAATTCCACGCGGGCGAAGCCGCGGGCGGAAAGCTAGTCCATTAATAAGAGTGAGTGACCTCTCACTCTGACGTCAAACCACTCAGACCGATTTGACCTCAAAGATGACCTTGCACTTTGACCTTACTTGAAAATATTGAAATGCAATACGATACAGCTCTTTTGATAACAATCTACATACGTTTCCGGTATTTCTAAAAAGAGTGAAATAGTGTTGCTTGGCGATAGACCACTATCATTTATCGATCTTTTATAATGCGAACAGCTAGGGACTGGAATTGGCTGCCTGCTGCTGTCTTTCCCGAAGACTTTAATCCGGGCCTTTTCAAGGCGAGAGTGAATAGGCACTTACAGGGCAGATGTACCTTCCTAGACTGCATTTCATTAACAGCAGGTGCAATTGTAGCCAAATACCTGCCTTGTTATGCATAACAAAGTACTATCGGTACTCTCGATAGTTATTCGTTCTTCAATATCGTTAGTATTTAGATTTTTCTGCCAGTTTTTGCAATATTATCGATCATAGCTGCTATAGATACTAAGTATTGCAAATGCACATGACTATTAACTTCGAACTCCTTCTATGTTCTTTAATTAATTTCGTTGCGGGTCCAATGACAGCTTAACATTCCCCCGGGACGAACTTGACCTTCGCTAGTTGGGATTTTACTGACGGTCAAGTTGTATCCTGTATCCTGGCTACACAGGAGTTGCAGCGGTGAGAACGACCGCAATATTGCACATGGTGATACTATCGATGTCTTGAATATTTTTCAAGGTCAACTATCGATACCGAAATTATCGATGATTCCACAACACTAGAGTAAAGAGTAAAACGTTTCTAAGGCTAAGGTCAAATTACACGTGGTATTTTTATTTATTGCTAAAACTGAGGTCACGATTTTCGTTGCTAAGAGCAGTTTGGTGGTATTAATAACTTTTTCTTGCAACTTTATTTATGTACTAGCTTTTATCCGCGGCTTCACCCGCGTGAAATTTAGTTTGTCACAGACATAATTTATAGCCTATAATTATGTTATTCTGGGTTATAAACAATAATACTGTAAAGTTTCATCAAAATCTGTTCTGCAGTTTTTGCGTGAAAGAGTAACAAACATCCAGACATCCAAACTTACGCATTTATAATATTAGTAGGATTACTAGCGGCCGCTTGCGACTTCGTACGCGTGGATCCCGTTTTACCCCCTTAGGGGTTGAATTTTGCAAAATCCCGTCTTAGTGAGCACCTACGATCTAAAAGGAACCCCCATGAAAAATTTGATTGCACTTGTAGTTTCTGAGATTTCGTGATCAGTCAGTCAGTCAATCAGTCAGTGACTAACTATACATTTGTGATTTGTTGGTTGGTTCGATACCCTTCGTTCTCTGGACTATTGTAGTGACACTCCTAACACCAGCTCACATACAGCTTAGTAAGTAGTTACTTAATTAACTAATCATCATCATCATAAGCTGGTCATTTAATTTCCACTAACGATTCTCTTATTTACTAGAGGCAAATGGAGGATTTTGCCTACACTCCAGACGGGTTCGGTGGCGATGTTAGTACTTAAATGTATTTTTGCCTTAAAACGGGACTATTCCCACCTCTCGTTCCCACCGCTGCAACTCCTGTGTAGCCAGGATCTACAGCTTGACCGCCTATAACCCAACCAATGAAGGTCAAGTTTGTCCCGGGGAAAAGTTAAACTGTCATTGGACCCGCAACGAAATTAATCAGAAGAACATACTTAGTTCTTTCTGCCTAAGTAGCCTTTGAGAATTATCTGTTTTGATTGACAAGCGTTTTATTTATTTGCTGACACTTATTAGCGTCACCGCAAATGTACCTGACTAAGTGTTATGGAAATGATCAATGCTAGTAAATTGTATAATGCACAGGTTCCCAAAGTTTTCTAAAAAAGTTTCTTTTCCGTAGTAGTAGGTGGTAGTAG